AAAGCCCTGCTGTAGAGGTCTCAGCCCTCATTTGTTAGTCTCTCTCTCTCTGTCTCTCTGTCGCTCTCGGATCTCTCTCTCTCTCTTTCTCTCTCTCTCTCTCTCTCTCTCTCTCTCTCTCTCTCTCTGTTTTTGGTGGACAAAAATATCTCTGGCGTTGATTGCTTTCTTGCTTCGACTTCTGCCGCGCCTTTGTTCTCGTACTCCCCTTTATGTACAAGTGTTGTGCGGACCCTCCCTTAATATAGTCTGTCTCATTTTGTCCTGAGATGTTTTGATGCATAGTGATTATGACGCTCATCATTCGCTCCCTTGTCACTGGACAGTTCTGTCCGTTTGGTTTTAGCGAATTCAAATAAAGAAAACAACAACAACAACATACCAAACATGCATGAAACTTACCAGAAAAAGTACCGAATTCTGCCAATTTTTCTGCCGGCATTATCCGCCAAGCCCAAATATACACAGAAGCCTTGCTTGGTAGTTTAGCATGTTTTTCGATTTGGACAGTATGTTACAAGGCAAGGACGCGTAGTGCTCCTGGACTCTGCCAACCGGGTTATGGTTGTAGTCAGGAGCACTACGCGTCCTCGCCTTGTAACATGCTGTCAAAATCGAAAAACATAGTGAAAGTATCCACGGATCCTTTCTTACCATACTCCAAATCTAACAGCTTCGGGTAACAATGCATTGCGATTTGGTGTAAGGGACTCCGTTTTGCTTCATTTAGCGTGCGCATGCCTGGAAGCGGAGTCTGTTTCGTACAGGAAGCCCGTTTCCACTTACACTTGCGCACGGGAAGCTTTTCACGAAGCACGGATCCTTTAGCACACTCCAAATCCAACATCTCCCGGTAACAATGCAGCGCGAGACGCGAGAATGCGAGGTGGAAAGCCGTCAGCAACAGTTTCCGTTTCACTTCATGGGTGGAAGGGACCACGTTTTATTTCATTTCGCCTGCGCTTGCCGGAAGCGGAGCCTGTTTTATACTTCTTTACATGTGTACAGCACGGGAACTATGCATTGCGAGCATACATTTGGTGTAACGGACCTCGTTTTGCTTCATTTCGCTTGCACACGCCGGAAGCGGAGCCAGTTTAGTACAGGAATCCCGTTTTCACTTACATTTGCGAACGGGAAGCCCCTTTTGAAGTGTTTGTGCTTCGTTTCGCGCATGGTGAACGTTTTGACGGAGCACGGATCCTTATTTACCACACTCCAAATCTAAGAGCTCCGGGTAACAATGCAGTGCGAGCATGCGAGGTGGAAAGCCGTCAGCAAGAGTGTCCGTAATACCTCAAATTTTGGTGTAAGGGGCCGGTCACACTGCATCATGAGGCAAAATTTAAAAAAATCCGTGGTTACCATGGATAGTTGCCGCTGAGCGAGAAATTTGAGAGATTTAATCCACTCGATGAAAATCAGCTCGAGGCCCCACTTTTCCGCCGAAAATTATAATATTCCGCGGCTTCCACGGGATTAATTTGAGTTGCCTTGTCTTTTAGTGCCTTCTGAAGCGGAGCGATGCTCTAGAGGATGTGCTGATGCACCTCTGGCCCAGAAGCGGGGTTGACAGACAGCCAGAAGCGAATGGTGACAAAAAAGTAGCTCGTGTGGGTGAGATTATCTTCATTGTGCGTATCATGTAGCTCTCTCCTAAAAGAAATTTTCCATACCCGCTCCTCCAGTGCACATACTACTGCCGTCACTAGGTCCCAAATCTCTTTTTCTCTGGCCTTGCCTTCTGGCCACACTAAAGCTGGTTTTTCTCGTCTTGGCTACATAGGTTCTGATCGGTGGAATATGCTTCCTTCCACTGTTCGCTCTTGTACAGATTATCGCCCATTTGTTCGTTCATGCTTAACCTTTCTAGGGGCTCCCGTAAGAAGACCATAGGTCTGTGTGAAACACCCTCGTAAAATAAATAAAATAATAATAATAATAATAATAATGTGGAAGAGAAAAAAGACATATGGATACGAGTTAAGAGTAACTCTCCATCACTGTAACATGATACTATATACAGTCAGAAAGTGCAATAACTAGGCACAAAACTGACTGAGTACTCTGTCAGTTTTGTGCCTAGTTATTGCACTTTCTGACTGTATATAGTATCATGTTACAGTGATGGAGAGTTACTCTTAACTCGTATCCATATGTCTTTTTTCTCTTCCACATTTATTTATGGCTCAACATCCGAGTTTCAAATAATAATAATAATAATAATAATAATAAGAGTTGGTGGACAAGCCGTTGATTATTCACTCTCATTGTAATATCGAAAAGTATTCTTTCTAGACCAAAGAGTGGTATATTTGATAACATTTAATAACGATAGAAATTTTTACGATACTTCTCCAGACGTTTCGTTGTTCTGAACAACATCGTCAGTGGATAAAGAATTTCTTTATCCACTGACAATGTTGTTCAAAACAAGGAAACGTCTGGAGAAGTATCGTAAAAGTTTCTATCGTTATCAAGTCTCACAAATGGACCGCATTACTCGTATCTCCAACCGTGCTGTTCGGATTGTCTTCGGCTACCCGAAGTACTACGATGCTTCTCTTGTTCTAGCTAGGAACTATCTCGCTGCTATCTCCCTTAGATATCAATTTCGCCTGTTTGTACTGGTGTTTCGAGCCCTCCATAAGTTGTGCAGTCCACTACTCTCGACCTGCTTCCTCCCTCGCACTGCCACTTCACAAACCTCAGCCCGTACACGCTCTCAATCCACTTTGTCACTTAGTCTTCCTTTAGTTTCTCGCCGCTATGGTTTATACTCGCTTAGCTTTCTTGGTTCTGATCGTTGGAATGCGCTTCCTGCTGATATTCGCACAATCTCCTTGCTCAGAAACTTCCGTTCATCTATTCAACAATTCATAGGGTACCCTGTAAAAAGGCCCTAGGCCTGTGGGACTGCCCTATTCAAAATTTAATAATAATAATAATAATAATAAATGTTATCAAATATACCACTCTTTGGTCTAGAAAGAATACTTTTCGATAATAATAATAATAATAATAATAATAATAATAATAATAATAATAATAATAATAATAATAATAATAATAATAATAATAATATTGACTGGTTTGAGGGAAAGAGACAAACGGGAAAAGTCTGAAGAAAAAATTGACTGCCACCACCAGGACTCGAACCAGGGACCCTCGCTTGTAGCCAGCGATGCTCTAACCACTGAGCTATGGTGTAGTCGTCATCCCAGCAGAGGCCGTTCAACATTTTCTTCAGACTTCGTAACTCACACTTCCTGTGAATCCACACAGGCGGGTGGGACGCAGCCCTCACTGTAACCCACACACTTCACGTACAAACTAGAACGCGGGGAGCCCCAAGTCATAAAATATTGACTGGTTTGAGGGAAAGAGACAAACGGGAAAAGTCTGAAGAAAAAATTGACTGCCACCACCAGGACTCGAACCAGGGACCCTCGCTTGTAGCCAGCGATGCTCTAACCACTGAGCTATGGTGTAGTCGTCATCCCAGCAGAGGCCGTTCAACATTTTCTTCAGACTTCGTAACTCACACTTCCTGTGAATCCACACAGGCGGGTGGGACGCAGCCCTCACTGTAACCCACACACTAATAATAATAATAATAATAATAATAATTTGGAAAGGATTGGGAGAACTTCAAATTCAAAGGATCAGTCGGGGAAGTGAACTGCCTGAAAAGAGAAAAAAACGCCAGACCCACCAGGACTCGAACCTGGGACCCTGCTTGTCATGAGCAATGCTCTAACCACTGAGCTATGAGACCAGGCTGAACCTAGAAGGCGCTGACAAGTTCTAGGTTTAGCCTGGTCTCATAGCTCAGTGGGGTCCCAGGGTCCCAGGTTCGAGTCCTGGTGGGTCTGGCGTTTTTTTCTCTTTTCAGGCAGTTCACTTCCCCGACTGATCCTTTGAATTTGAAGTTCTCCCAATCCTTTCCAAATTTAATCACTTTCTTTCACCTCTGGTAGTTTCCAGAAACTGACCGTGGTTGGTCCCCTGGGGGAGGGAAAAAGACCCAAGTGCCATCAGTATGTGTGGCACGTGTTGTGAGCTGCCTTTGGAGTGAAAAACTTGTCAGCGCCTTCTAGGTTCAGCCTGGTCTCATAGCTCAGTGGTTAGAGCATTGCTCATGACAAGCAGGGTCCCAGGTTCGAGTCCTGGTGGGTCTGGCGTTTTTTTTCTCTTTTCAGGCAGTTCACTTCCCCGACTGATCCTTTGAATAATAATAATAATAATAATAATAATAATCCAGTGTGCCCGTGATGTAAAGAAGAAAAAATATTCCCGGTTTATAATCTGAGGATTGTTCCCTGAATGTGACCGGCCCCTGTAGCACCTACTCCACTTTTATGTTGATGTATCTATGTCCGTCGGATCTTCCCAAGTTGTACATTGTACTGTTGAGATACCGAACTCAAATAAATCAGTACCATACCATATACTAAGGGACCCCGTTTTACTTCATTTCGCGTGCGCTTGCCGGAAGCGGAGCCTGTTTTATACTTCTTTACAAGTATACAGTACGGGAACAATGCATCGCGAGCATGCATTATTTGTGAGGGACCTCGTTTTGCATCATTTCGCGTGCGCATGCCGGAAGCGGAGCCTGTTTAGTACAGGAAGCCCGTTTTCACTTACATTTGCGCACGGGAAGCCCCTTTCGAAGTTTTTGTGGTTCATTTCGTTCATGGTAAACTTTTTCAAGGAGCCCGGATCGTTTAGCACACTCCAAATCTACTCCATTTCGCGTGCGCTAGCCGGAAGCGGAACCTGTTTTTTACATTTATACAGTACGGGAAGCCCGTTTTCACTTACATTTGCGCACAAGAAGTCCCTTTTATAGCTGCTGTGCTTCGTTTCGCGCATGTCAAGTTTTTGCACCTTGCGACTGTGGCCACACATAGGCATCCTGATACGCCGCCAGTTTGCGAGGCGAAGTATAAGTAGGGCTGACTTGCAGGAAACTGATATGATCATACCGAGTTCTGTTGCCTTCGAAGCTTCTCGAGCTCCTTTTCTCTAGTGAAGGTAGAAAGCCTGCTGTAGAAGAGACTGATAAAGCTGTTCTTGTCAACGCGCCAAGATGAGGACTCTAGCCATACTGGTAGGTGATGATAGATTGCACTCGACAATGTTGGTCCACCGTTGTTTGTTTTGCGAAACCGAAAACCGATATCGGTAATATTGAAAAATCTCGTCACTATGATAGTGCAAGTAGTGTCTGTTCGCTGTAAACTTTATACAATTCCATTCTACAGCATTGGGTACAATTCCATTCCAAATTATAGCCAGGAGCCATCCTGTGGATTAAAGGATTTTAGTACTGTTGCGATGTGTCTGCTTACCATTTTATCACTCAGTCAGTTTACTGGCGGCATAGCCCCCCCCCCCCTCTCTTAAACTAGCGATGTTATATATAGGGCATCCTCCCAAGCAAGGCTGTACCGACAATGCCTAGCTTCAGCGAGAAATTCGCCCCACCTGCAGTAGTTCCACAGGACGCCTTAGTGACGGAGTCTTGGGAGAACGTCGGCGGGGTTTGGTTGGATGGTAGTGATTGCAAATTTAATGAATAAGAGGAAAGAGCAATTCTACGAATTATGACGTTAAACTGATCACAGAAGAAGGATAGAGTTCACATACTATTGTGCAACAAAGGCACCGGCCAGCACTGATACATTGCGGTTCTAATAACTGCTATTTCTTCATTCAGATCTGTTTAATACTCTTTGTCTCACGCTATTTAGGTTATTTCCTCTTGTAGTTTGTCATTTTGCTTTGTCTTTACTCTCTGCCATGGCTGGCTATCGGAAAACAATGGAGTTACATCCGCCCAGCCATTTAGTCTAGTACTGCTAGCCCTTCTTAAACTTGACCTTTATTATAAGACTCTCTTTTGCTTTATAATACAAAGAGAAAGACCAAGGAACTACAAGTTACGCTGTACTGTCCCCTTACACCACGCGTTCGGTTTTTCACGATTCTTGTTCGCATAGCTTCCCCTATTATTGATCTTCGCATCTTTTGAGCCAGACAAGTTGTGTGGAGTGTGGCTTTGCGTTCCTGAATCGTGGTTTGACCGTCTTGTCCAATGGTCTTGCAAGTATCGTCATCGACATGCATGAACATCCGCCAACGTCCTTCACAGCTGAGACTTTCAGCTCGTGCTTATCTTGGTTGCGCTCACCTTCCCCTCCTGATGTTATTTCTATAACTTAGAACCTTCCAAGTTGGAAGGCTGTTGGAGTGCGCATCCAAGATGTGCTAGACTTGTTAGCCAATTAGTTGTAGAACGTCAGTACCGTCGGTCAGTGTCGTGCAATGCTATCGCATGAGCTGATTGCTTTGTAACTGGTGGTGGTAGTGGACAGTATAGCGTAACTTGTAGTTCCTTGGTCTTTCTCTTTGTATAAATTAAACATTGACTCTCCATCTGATGAGCCGTTTTTTTCTTTTTCATTTCGTTTTTCTCACTCCCACACACACATGCTCACAGTCAATTCTGCCTACGTGAGTCCCATTCAGGATGGATACGAGAAAAAATTAATAATATTTTCTTAACGAACCTCGGATGTTGAGCCAATAATAAACGTAGGAAGGAAAAGGAAATATAGATACGAGTTGAGAATAACTCTCCATCACTGTAACCAGATACTATATACAGTCAAAACGTGCAACAACTAGGCACAAAACTGACAGAAAAAAATCTTTAAAAAAAACTGAGACAGTCGACGTCCCGACACCTAGCTTCAACACATCTCCGTAGCACTAACCGACAGCCTTCCAACTTGTCAAATATCCTACTGGTCTCGTCATAGTCCAGTAACAATCGACATTCTTTGTTCCGCTGGGACTGTACCTTGTGCTCATTTTCGTTGCGCTTGCCTTCCCCTCTTTGGTCTTTCCATAACCTTGAACCTTCACAAGTTGGAAGGGTGTCGGTTAGCGCTACGGAGATGTGCTGCAGCTAGGTGTCAGGACGTCGAATGTCTCAGTACTCTGTCAGTTTTGTGCCTAGTTGTTGAACTTTCTGACTGTATACTATTATATTATCTGGTTACACTGATTGAGAGTTACTCTCAACTCGTATCTATATTTCCTTTTCCTTTCTACATTTTTAACGAAGGTATGTATTAGGTCGCAAGTATCCACAAAAAAACACATCCAGTCAAAGAGGGCTCTTATCAAAAAATGTCCGAACGTTTTCGGTCGCTTCTCATTAAAGATCGTACGGGTATACCTCAAGTTGGAAAGACTAAAACTTAGATAGCGTACAGGTAATGAGATAACAACACTCGTGACAAGGTGGAAAATTGTCAAGTTCAGAACGACACAAAGTTCGAAGGAAAATAAAAAATCTTCCCTGTACCATCCTTGATGAGAAGGGACCGATAACGTTCGGATTTTTTTACAAGTGCCTTATTTGACTGGATGTGTGTTTGCGTGGATACTTGCGACCTACTACTTACCTTCGTTATTTTTGTATTATCTGCCTCCGACCTCTTAAAAAAAATCTTGGATGGAGAGCCGAGGATAATTTATAAAAAGTAAAAAGGACCAAGTAGGTGCTAGAGCTGTTAGCTTGTTAGTTGTAGAACGTCAGTACCGTCGGTCAAAGTCGTGCAATGTTATCCCATGAGCTGATTGTTTAGTAACTGGTGGTGTTAGTGGACATTATGGTGTAACTTGTAGTTTCTTGGTCCTTTTTTACTTTTTATAAATAATAATCTTCACAAGTTTGATGGAAAGACACAAACGGGAAAAGTCTGAATAAAAAATAGACTGTCACCACCAGGACTCGAACCAGGGACCTTTACTTGTAGCTAACGATGCTCTAACCACTGAGCTATGGTGTAGTCATCATCCCAGCAGAGACCATTCAACATTTTCTTCAGACACCGGAACTCACACTTATTGTGGATCCACACAGGTAATACTAATAATGATAATGTTGAGTCACCTCCACCATTAAACTGCGCTCTTTAGCCAACTAGACCCTCCTGAGCCATCACCATTGCGAGGACACTTCCGTAGACGATATTGATAAACTCCTTCAGACAGCTGTTTCGCGAATACACAGCTCATCCGTGAAGGTAGATGTTAAATGATTGAAAATATAGATCAAATATAGACCAAACTGCTATTATATAGGGGTTTCCACATACAAAACTGGCATAGCTGAGGTGATAACGCGGGAAAAAGAAAAGTGTGAAGTACTGATGACCCGCATGGGACATGCATGCAGCGTCGGAAATTCGGCGCGAAAAACAATCACTATTCAATGCAGAAATAACGTGCCAGAATCAGAGTACTATGTAGCTAGTGAGAGTCTGTGTACTAGTATTGCAGTTGTCCGAGCGCCATGAAAGTCTGCGAAAGCACCTCACGACCCGCCGACGTCGACAGCCACAGCAACCCCCTAGGGCATTACACTTTACTGCTCGCCCGTCGCGCCAAGACGCTTGGCAGTCACTAGGCTTCATGCCACCGATGTTGTCCACAAGCTACCTTGTTATCTGCCCATCACCCACTGCCACCGACACGCTGGGAGGCCCCGCGGCATTTGCCCAGTATATCGTCGTCAGAGCTGTGTCAACGGTACAATAACGCTGGTAGAAACAAACAGTTGGTCGTATGGTATTGCGTCCTCCGGATTGTCCCTTGACTCGTCTTGTCCCTCTTCTTGCTCTGACGCTAACGGCGCACGTATCATATTACTACAGGGTGCGACAGAGCTCCCATCTACGGAAGTGTCCTCGCAATGGTGATGGTTCAGGAGGGTCTAGTCGGCTAAAGAGCGCAGTTTAATGGTGGAGGTGACTCAACATTTTCTTCAATGGCCACTGCACCTAAACGCCTGGACATTGCCTCACATTCTACTAAGTCATATGAATAGCTGTGTTAGTGCTATGTTCTCTGCTGCGTGTGCAATTCCTACTCGTTCTCGTACACTGTATTTGATTTTTTTCATTTAGTTGTTGAGATAAACCTGGCTAGACCACTGTTTTATCTCAGAAGGGGCGTGATGTGATATGATGCTCATGTCTTATCACGTGACCATTACGTCATATATCTAGCCTGTGTATTACGTCACAACCAGCATGCGCCATCTTGGACTAGTCTTGGACTTGCCTTCGCAATCTGAGAATTTGAGCAATCAGCAGTTGGCGCATGCATGCTTTTCGCATTCTGGGAACGCTCAAATACTTGGTGCACGAGGAGCTTCTGCTAGACTTCTGGGAGCACACCCAAGTCTGTGTGGTGCACATTCCAGCGCAGCGAATTCATATGGGGCGCAGTCTGTGTGTGCAATCTGTACTTGGTAGTGATGAAACAATAGTCAAAACCTAGTAGCCGAATATTCTTTGGCTTAACGAACGAATGAACGAGTATTCTTTTGGTAACACCGATGACATCACATGACCTCCTCTCAGTCATTTTATCTGGGAATTCTCAGATTGGGCGGAACGTACACATGCAAGCGATGTGATGCAGTCATGTGTGCACTACTGTACTACAATGATATGCAATCGGATACTGGGACAACAGGGCACACAACTGACAGGGAAACTCAAAGGCGAGATTCGAGATTCAACGATAGGACGAGATTCAACAGCCTACTGCTTAGCTACAGCACGTCCACTAAGCGACAACCAGTAACCTTCTAACTTGGGCAGCTTAGATCAGGAAGTCGACGACGACGTCGATTTTGACCACTGCGGCAATGGCGTGTAGGTGGCGATGAAGTCGAGACCCTAGGCGGAGCTCTCTAAACCTCACCACCACTGCCACGATTTAGGTTCTGCGTGCTTCCCCTAGCTGCATCTCATGTTTCGCATTTCAGTGGTCTTTTTAAAAATTCAAAAAAAAACCAGCTAAGTCAAGAGAATATTATCCCTGCTGGTAAAGTCGATTTCTCTCGATTTTGGATGTGCCAATGGCGAAGTAAAATAAGCTTAACAAAAAACACCAAACCTGTGTGCCTTGTTAGCTCTCGCCCAATCATATACTGCATTTTCACAAATTCTGTATACTGGTATTTTCAAAAAGAGGGGACCCTAAGTTTATGAGTTATCTGTTTTGTCCAACACTAACGATTATAAG